GATTAATCTCGTAAAGTCTGATTAAAGGTTGCCTATCTATTGAGATATTCGCATTCAATGTATTAGTTAATACATCTCAATTTCTCTCTTATTAAAATCAATCAAGAACTCACACTTTCTTTACTTTATCAATGACATATCACTTATATTGGTTATATATTCCAAATCGCTTTAAATTTTTATAGACTACAGTCACACGTTTCTCACTTTACTGCGAGGTGATAGCAAAAATCGGCGGTATGCCAAAGTTACGCAAATAGGACCAATGGGACGTCGCTTTGGTGCGGCGCGGCGAAACACTTCACGCGGTTTTTACCTTTTATTACGAGGCATTTCCGGAAGATATATGTACGCGAGGGGAAGATCTCTCGGTGCGCGAGAAGCGTGGCGTTGGAGGGTTCGCGAGGCGTGACAAGAAATGTCATACGCTTCGGAAAGCATAACTACGTGAGGCCCGGTCGCATACCGTTACGTTGACACACGCAGACATAACACACACATACACAAAATACAAGAGAAAAGGAGAAAGAGTAAACGTCGGAGCCCGCGATAAGCGCAAAAATATTGAGAGCTTCTAAAGAAAATTGCCCGTTGCGTGATGCACGAACGCGCCTCTGATTCGAGACGTGTAAACAGCCCGTGGATCGATGTAATTAAACAAACATACACGCAAAAAAATTCAAAGCTCAGAGGTGTAATACTCTTATACAGCTGATACGAGATCGCGTATGTATCTCGTAGTAGATTATCATCGCGAGTATAAAAGATCTAATCTTTTATGTGAAAAAAAGTAAAGCCAGTGTTACCTCGACGCTTCGCACGACGGAGTCGTGGTTTGTAATGTCATCATGTCAATGAAAATTTTTCTGTAATATTTCATAAAGCATTAGCTTGGCTTAGCTGATCCCGCAAACAGGTTTACACGCTCTGTGCGGTGGTGAAGTTATTTTTCTGTTAAAGCGTTTATTTGAATTTTTAAAAAAAAAAAAAAAAAAAAAAGGGTTTAAAGTTTAAAGCTATACGAAGAGAATAACGAAATCCAGGAATACATCGAGCTGTTGGAGAAATACTACTCGCGAGGAAAGGCACGGAAACGGCGTTACGAGAAGCGTAAACCACATTATACGGGGCGTGAAATCGGAAAAAAATGTTTATACTACCGGCGCGTCGGTATATAAACGTCTCGGTATTGTTAGAAATTAAAAACTTCTCGTGTGTTAAAAAATATCCGCGAACGACGAATTGTAAAATCGGCTGAAATATTGAGCGAGCGAAGAAATATTGCCTGTCGCGTAACGCATAAATGCGTCGATCCGAGAGGCATAAATCGCATTATCCCGCTCGTGAAAACGAAATAAAATGTGTACGCATGTGTGTTGCCAGTAGACAAGTTTTATGGTAATGTTTTGTCAGCGAAAGTGCTGTAATATTAATCTCGCGGCTACATACAATGCATCTATTAAAAATATCGCGTTTTTAATGGAAAGCGTATAATCTATCACAACTTTTAAACTGCGTATTTATTTAATAGTAATATATCAGTCATAAATTGTATTTATGATACTAGTACAATAACGTTCTCGCGACAAATATATGAGACATGCATAACAAAATATATACGTAATATATATGTAATAAAAATGTATAAATACTTATATTTTTAAAATAATATAAAAGTGATATAATATTGCACACAGAAAAATATACATGTATTCGCAAATAATAATAAATACTTGATTCAAATATATTTCAAACGTTCGTATATCTGTAAATCTATCATAAATTCATAAACATCAAATTAATTTAAAATATATTCTGCGAATACTAACCAGTTTGATACTTTAATCAAGATTATTAAATTAAAATGAATTTAATTAGTTTATTATATAACATTTTTTCATCAATTATTTTTATAATATTAAAGAAAATAAATTCTTGCTTGGAATACACATTAATGAGTTTTCTAAATTTTATATTAAATATATCTTAAGATTGTCATAAAAAAATATTTTTGTAAAAAATAATCGTTATTTAAAAGAAAAAAGTAAATTGAATAATCACTTTTCTTAACAATACAATGATATGCTTCAAAAGATTCAATTTATTACAATTGTCCACTATAAATTGGACAATTTGTATAAAGAATTGAGAAGAGAATCAATGTTAATGCATTTACTAGAAAAAAAATAATTAATGTTGTGTATATCGATATCACGTGTGTTTCATAAGGTGTTACGATTTCACGCTTCCGCTACGAGCTAGTACGTCGTCTGCAGGCCGACAGCGCGTCGTCGTGTATTACAGTATCAGATTGCAAATCAATATCTCATTTCGTAGGTATGAGCCGAGATGTTGCGTTCGTAATGCAGTTTCGTGACCGAGAGTGTCGACGTGTTCGAGTGGCTGAAAGCAGAGGACACACACGCGAAATGACATACGTGTGAGATCGTACATATACCCGACATTTTTATGCGCGTACATACGTGCCTATATAGATCGACGGATTTGATAGGAGAGGGGCAAATTGGAAGGGGTTGATCTTGCGTCGGGTCAGAGGAAACTGGAATGAACATATAATAGTTAAGTCGAGAATTACTCTTAGGGTCCTATAACTTTGCGATAACGATTGTTTTCTGCGAAAGATTTATCGATTAACAAACAAAAGAGCATAAAACCTTTTTATTATTATTTGCGTTTGTTATTATCTTACGTTATGTTTAACCTTTAAATAGATACATTCGTAAGTACACTCGTAAATAAATTTATAATGTCAAATTATACTTAATTAGAGTTATTTTTAATTATTATACTTCTATAGGTCACCATTGACATTTAAACACACATGGAAGTTAAAAATAACAAAATGTTATTTAACTCGAAAGATCAGGTTACCATTGTTCCTTTGATATATGTATAACAGTGTAGACTCGCTTAGAATAGAGTCCAAAATGCTTAATTTTTATACTATAATTATATTTTTTTAACAGTAAATATTATATAAAGTTAAATTTACATTGTTTATACCTACATGAGATAAAACAATATTTCTGAGAAAAAACACATTTCTGGATACTTTTTATTTTTTTTTTTTTTCTAGAATGAGCTTCTTAAAATAATTATACGTGGGATGCTGTGGCCTGCACCTATTTACTTAAAGGTTAAAAATAGTAGTAAAATAAAATCCGTGATACTTAAATATCATCAAATAAATATCAAACTAATGATAAATTGCTTTGCATTTTTGTTGCCGTATATACATTAATAGAAAAGAAAAATACAGATTTAATTTCTGCGTTAAATCACACTCGCATAACTCGCTGCCATTTAATTGTTTAACAAACGGCTTTCTTTCCCCTGCTACTCCTCTTCGCCCACGTTGTGCAGAATTCCATTTCGTTTCGAAATCTGCATAATTCGCCGCAATAATTAAGCCACCCGTGCTGTAGAAGGCAACCACGTGCCTTTCGTATCTCTTCTAGGTCGAATAGTTCAGGGTCGAAGGTTGGCATTTTGGCGAAAGCGTTAACCCCCAACACTCGCCGTTGCTTTCGTCCTCCCATTCCTCGGTCACGACTGTGCTGCGAAATCTCGTAACATCGACGTCGAGATTTGCATAATTCGTTGCGATAATTAAGCAATCTGCATATTACGGCCCGCGCGCGCGCCTCTTTCGTGGGCAAATAGTCGCGGTCCTGAAGTCGACCCCTCCTCCGTCTTCTGTCCGTATATTCGGCTATTAGATTAGAGGGTTGTAACGAGTAATATTCACGTAACCATTCCGCACTACCACCCACGCAATTTCACCCCGACGCACGTACAACGCGTTTAATGTACGCGAATCGCGAATTCCCCGTCAAATATCAAAAGCAGCGTGAGCTTTCCTTTGCGCAAAGACATGTAATATGATGAATCCTCTTACTCTTTTGTAGCTTTGATAAAAAGTAATAAGACGATACGGTTTCATATTTCGTGTCAGATTCTTAGGAGCGCTTATAGAAAAATCAGCAATACGTATAGTTGGATGTAGATTTTTTACAAAAGCATTTTGCTTACGTTTTTCACTGTTTGTTTCTTCCCATTTTCTTCAAATTCCTTTAATATTGAACTCGTAAAAATTCATACTAGCTGTTTAATATTTCAAATTTTGTTTCTTTTAATAACAGCCAGTCTCTTTTATCACCGACGACAATGATCAAATTGACAAATTTTAGACTTGCGAGAGCAGATAAAAGCGACAGTTCAATATAAATCTTCGTCTCGATTTGTTGTACATAATTTAATAATTATCTGAGACACAAACTCCCTTAGGCGCGTCAATGCGTGTCAGCATGAAGCGACGCGGCGCGCGCGGCGGTCGATAGGCAATAACGCCGACAAGGACGATCAGAGGTCCGGCAAGCGGCTTTGCAAAGTTTCGCCAATCAGCAGGTGGAATCCCGGACGGAACTCACTGACAATTCAATTACAACTGGGAATTCCTGGTCCGACCCTAAGCCGAGAAAGTTCGGCGGTTTGACGGAGACCGAGGGACGCTCTTCTCTCCAGAGGGCTGCGGAGAGAAGGAGGCGAGCCGCGCTTCTCCAAGTGTTATGCAGATTTCTGTTTGGCCAGTCATTACTGGGGTGTTTGCAGGCACGACAGCCATTGCTACGGCTACCCGGTCCGATCTCCAACCACCAGCTACCAGTTATCCCCTCCGACACCCCCTCTGCCGTTAACGGAAGACGGCCATCTACTGTCCGGCCATGGCGCGCATCCCTATCCTCGATATTCATATCAGCCCCCCTTCGTCCAGCGCTTCTATGAATATTTACCCTCCTTTCTGTTAATATCGCGTACGTGACATTTTCCGAGCGTAAATACGCGCCGACGTCCGTGAACACGATGACTGGCGGTCATCGGCTGAAGAGGCGGATCGAAAGATAAAAAAATAAACGCGCGCTCGAAGAGTAAAGGGATCGACCGATGCTCGTTGTAATATTATAACGACAGATACTTACCGGCATAGTTTGGCTACCGTGTAGAGAGTTTATTGCTGCCAGTGCTTCTTGGTGTGATGAAAGTTTTACGAAGGCACAGCCTGAAACAGAGGAGAACATTTTATTAACTAAGTGTGAACAACGTCATGTACAGATTCTACAATCGATATAATAGGAAAGTATTATATATGTCATAAAATATTCTGTATTATTATCTTTATTTAAATATCCGCAAGATAAGTTTTATACGTATAATAAATATACATTCTACAGTGAGAAAAAAACTTGTATCAAATTTTAATAAATACTTATTTGAATAGTGCCAACTAAACCAAATTTACTTACAGCGAATAAATATTTACTCGATAAAGAAAATAATTGTTAAATCAAATTAATAGTTCTCTTTGTGAACCCCAAATAAATATATTTAGTAAATATTTTTTTCAGTTGGTACTATTCAAACAAATAATTTGTTCAAATTGAGTATATTTTTTTTCAGAGTATCATTGTACAAATGCGCTTGTCTAAAAACATACGATTTTTCGCCAAGATAGAAACGAAACAAAAGGTTAAATAGAACTCGTAACGTTCGCTATTCATTTGCCGGAAGAAGCGTCGCCAGCAGCGGCAGCCGGGGCTCTTCCTTTTTTCGTCACAAAAATTCCACGGCGTACTCGAAACCCGGAAGGAGGCGAAAATAGTTTTATCCGTTTTATCTTCACGAGTGATCCGCGGCGAAAGAGGTTCCGTTTCCGCCATTGTCGAGGAGCGAGGCTGTCCACGACGAGATGATGGAACGATTAATCGCTCTCCTACCACCTGCCACGTGCGCTCATCGCCGGTAGTTAGATGGAGACGCGGTGAAGACAAAGAGCTCGGGGGCTCTTTGAAAAATTGACGCGCCAGCGGAGCGCAACGTGCACTTTAATAAAAGATGTTTACCGCGCGCGGACGACGCGCTTCGTAATCCGAGACGACGGTGATCGCGGTTTCGTGCAATAACTATTTGTATCGTCGCTAGGAAAACGATGCGCTGCAATTGTTGTCATCCTTTGCGCGCGAGCGTCGTATAAACGAGATAATAATCCACTGGATCGTTCGATCTGTCGAAACGGACTTGTTCGAAAAATAAACCTCTCGATGTTACCACCGGGGCAAGAAACTTGGAGGAGTTTTCTGTGCATTGAGGTCGCGTCATATGGCGATACCCAAACGATATTTTATGCCAATAGCAGGTGATATCGTATCGGTTTATTTTTTTCTCTCTTTTTTTTTTCGGGGAACGTTGAGTTTTATAGCTGGTAAATTTGATTCGATCGACGCCTCGAGTTTTTCCACCACGCGAAAAACTAATCGATGAAAGTAGTAATTAAATTTAACGTAACAACGTTAAAATTAGAGTCGGCATCGAAACACATTGCGAGTTCAACTATACGCGAGAATTGCGTAACGTGGTAACGCTTTTTTAAAAAAATGAGATTAATCTTTTCGAGAATCGAATATCGTCCAATATACTCGTCAATTTCTGTCGAACGGGTGCCTCTTGAAAAATAAACGAAACTCGATTGCGATATGCTTCTAGGGGATGGGGCGGATCAGGGATTGAAGGGAATTAGGGCGAAAAGAGGACGCCCATCCCCGTACTTGCTGAAGTACGACAAGATAACGTACCCACACCCGTCCCTTTCCTAAACCCTGGACCTTCCTCTGATCTCAGCAGCCCTCGTCTTCGACATCCAGTTTCAAACTCCCATCCCTTGCTTGCTTGAATGATATGAAAGTCGGAATAGACGGACAATTTTAGACCTTCGATCGATATATCAAAACTTTATGATGAATTGTACGAGAATATCACGAGAATATGTACGTCACGCTTGGTGTAAAGAAAAATTATGTAGAACGTATATTACTCGATTTACGGAAATCAATTTTCGTGAAAGAACACTGTAAGTTTCGCACGAAGTGTGTTAGATGAAGCGGAGTAAAGAAAAGATAATCACGTACAACTGTTCTAAAACGCTAAGTAATTGGAGTACGAAAAAAAAAATGACAAAGCGGTTCTTCCCGCTTTGTTCCCGGCAGCTCATTAAGTGGCGTTGCTTGACGGCATTATACTCCTTGCCTCTCTGGCCCTTCCTGTCTGGAACACCTGGCGTCCATTGTAGCGATGATAATGTCGCCATGTCAACCTCATGCCGCTACATTAATCAGGCCTTTGAATCTCGAAAACTCGAATATTTAACCAAGATCCAGAGACTACTGTTAATATCCGTGCACGCGGACATACACTCACAATTCGCATAATATTACATGTATATAGATTAATATGTAATAAATTAATTCGATCAGTACAAATAATTCAATTTTCTTTCTATTGTATCATATTAATTTGCAGAACAGACAATTATTCGCGATTATCATGTACTTCGCGAGAGAATTCGAGAAGGAAAAATGGTCGAAATTTGTCAAAGACCGATATCGGGCAAACATACAGATGAAACTCCCTTGTCGAATCTTGTAGATTCTGAAGTCGTATACGATGAACGTAAGAATTTGCCGGAGCTTTCAGAGCGTTCCTCCCTCATCTTTTCCTTCTTTACGGATCTCTCGAAAACGATGCGCACTTGAGATTTTTGTTCGGCGTTTTTCGCATCGATAGGATGCAAGCTCGTGCGAAAATAAAAGACTCGAATTTCACGAAATTTCAGATATATTCATATCTGAAATCGCGTATGTATGCTTTTTTTGCTATTTTTGCATGCATCAAAGATATATTACATGTTTTATAATAAAATAATAAATAATATAATTTATAAAAAATGTTTAATATTTTAATAAAAAATATGAGAAATATGTATATAGATTTTTATAAATAAAATGATGTATTTATGTATATATAAAAAAATAAATAAATATGACATAAGATAATGTCATAAAATAAAATATAAGATGCATAAGATAAACCAACAGAAAAATGTCTTGTTATTAGTGAGATGAAGGCGAATTTATATTTCTCTCAAAATATTTTCTTATTTCAAAAAAGTAACACAACTAAAAATATTAAATTTTATACAGAAATGAAAATATTAAATTTTACAGAAATGAAAAAACTAACAAAAAATTATTGACTAATTAAATAATATAAAAAAATATATATTTTTAGAAACATGATCAAATGTCATTTTTGTCATTTGTATTTGACAACCCTTAAAAATTACCTTTCTTGAATTGTTTACAAAAACGCACAACATAGTTCAAAATCTATCATTTTTGTAGAAAATATTATAATCTCTTTAAAAAGAGAGTGAACGACACTACTTAGTCGACAGATTGTGAAATTAAATTAGTTCACGTTTGATGATTGATAGAATAATCTTTACCTAATTTATTTATAGTAACAGTTCGAAAATTACATATTTTCAGTTGTATACTTTCAAAGTATAAGATAAAGTTTCTCTAGATAAATTGTTGATTATTTGAACTATAAGAAGATTTGTAGGAAATATTTATATTTTAATCTTATATTTTAGCGTTTAATAAAACGCATGAGACATAGCTACTTTTTTTCGTCTGCTTAAGGTATATTTATAATGCTCTCTTTTTGCCTTTATAATAAAAATAACGTTCAGCAACAAATAGTGAATGTAATCAAGCGTTGATCGAATCGATGGCTCTTCATGGTCGGCGAGTTGAGTTTCGTGGACTTCTCTCGTCCCCGTTTCGTCCTGAATCCTTCCTTCCTCCAATTCAACCACCTCTCATGCACCACCCATCATCGCGAGGAGCCGATCGATAGTGCCCACGAGACTTTCCACTCATATATTTGATTGCTCGGCAAACATGCCTAAGTTTATCCCGCAGCCATCGTCATCACCGAGCGACTACTACGACGCGGGCAATGCCACGACGACTCGCGAGCTCTCATACACGTATCCATCGAGCTGCTCAGATGTCGTCGCGAGTTTGTTCACTCAGGGCGTTACGCTTAAAGTAATTCGATCCTATTAAGACCGCGATGTAATTGAACGCTACGAAGTTACCAAAGTATTCTGTCTTCTATGATGGAACGGTATAAGAGCGATCGACACGCGAGCTAGAAACCCCTTTGCTGACAAAACATTCTACTTTCTTGACGGTTTTCGAAGTATAAACGTTCGTTCTAAATTCAAGCAGCTCGGTAAGAATAAAATATTTATTACGCACGTCGACAATGTCGAGCGGAGTAGCAAAGAGACAACTTCTACTCACTTCCCTCTTTGTAATCGCTTATTCAATTATTCTTTAACACTGTAACTGTGTCGCGCCATTAGCTTCGCTTTTACTACTATAAACGGTTCGTGGCCTTATAGTACGGGTGTGTTAACTCGTTTGACGAGCTGCCGCTCGATAGCGAGCTGTATAGCGCGTTTAGCGATCGATCTTCTTATACTCTCGTTTCCGCGAGTAAAACTTGGCGGAAGTTGTACGCTTCATTAATCAACAGTTGATAATTAAATCAAGCCGCGAACTAAGTTCGAAAAAATGCCGCGCTCTCTCGTTTGAGTTCGCCTCGATGTTAGAGGGCCTCATTAGAGAGTAATTATTTCGCTACGTTACGCGAAGGCGCTACACTACCGATCGATGGATCTTTTATCCAGGCGCATATAGTTGACGTTCCAAAAGAAGCGTCAGTTTGAAAATAGAATCGTCGTGATCGATGGGCGGTGAACATCTGTTACCATTGCTGATGAAAAGGGGTGATTTGAATGTAGACCCGTCGATATACGTGCCTCGTGTGTCAACCTTTGCGACATGGTTGTAAAAGTCACTAGGGAACATCTGTTTTTTTTTTTGTAACTGCTAAAGATGAACGTATGGGGAATTGTCATTATTTGTTACAAAATGTATTACACAGTACGGTAACCGCTACTATACTTAATAAATATTTTAGATATTTTAACATAAATATACAAACCGCGACGTGAAAGCTAATATGATCATTTATCAATTAACATTGATATGATGTTCCGTATAACACCGGAAGTTATACGATTAATACGCAGAAACAAATCAAGCGCAAATACAGAATCGTTAATAATTGATACAACAATTATTTATAATA